TATATATATACTTTATTTAAAGTACATACAATTCATCTTCCATTTAACGGCGTGTCATCTGGGTACAAATATCTTGTGCAATAACAGCTAAAGTTTACATCCATGTTCATTTAATATTAATTCTCTGTTCTTATCTTATTGATATGCATATAATATCTCTATTACTACAATACTCCTCTTCTTGGCTTGTTTAATTCTATTAACATATTTTCTAAATTTCACTAACCCATTAGCTATTTCTAGCTTTCATATTTCTTCTCTAGCCATTGATAAAATAGTTCCCATATCTTATAATATTCCGTTCGTTCCTTCTCTTTTATTGTGAGGGTTAATCTATTCATTTCTGGTTGCTCCTCTCCTTGATGAGTTTCCATCCCTTGCTTCTTGTTCCTCCCTGCCTTCAGGTGGGGTTCAACCCACACTTCTCTAATCTCTTATTCTCCCCCCCCCCCCGCAGGGCCCGGCCTGCAGCCTGTCCCCTCCTTGCGGCAACCCCAAAGGAAAGAAATCGGTGAACAAGGACAGCCTGGAGTACCGCCTGCGCCGTGAACGCAACAACATTGCGGTGCGCAAGAGCCGCGACAAGGCCAAGCGCAGAGTGATGGAGACGCAGCAGCGCATGGTGGAACTGCTGGGGGAGAACGAGCGGCTGCGCACCCGGGTAGAACAACTGATGCAGGAAACCGAGACGCTGCGAGATATTTTCCGCCAGGTGCCCGAAGCTGCTGGCTTGATCAAGGGCCTCGGGGGTTGCAGCTGAAGCTGGCTGGAGTTGGCGTCCAAGGTGCCAAGGAGGGGTGGGGTGACTGCAATCTAGAAGGACAAAGCTTTTGCAATTTGTAAATAAAAGATTTTTTTTTTGGCTTGGCTTTAACCATCTCTGGTGGTGAATTTTTTAAAAAACTAGTTTATTTATACATTTTCAATGAACGTACATATGTGCTTTGTGAACAGTGTAATGTCCTTACATAATAATATAACATATAATAACAATGATGACAACAATGACAATAATAATAATAATAATAATAATAATAATAATAATAATAATAATAAATAATAAATAATAAATAATAAATAATAATAATAATAATCTGACGAAACAGTGGACCACCGGGTAAGCTGCTGCAAGAGGATTGCACAAGCTGACTGCAAGCAGCGGCATGACAAAATAGCAACAATGGTGCATCGGAAGATCTGCAAGAAATATCATTTGCCTGTAAGCAAGAACTGGTGGGACCATAAAATAGAAAAAGTAATAGAAAATGAAAAAGTTAAATTGCTCTGGGACTTCAGAATCCAGCCAGACAGGCACCCGCCACATAACATCCTGAACTTACCAGTTGTTGATAAGAAAGACCAAAAAAAGTCTGGATAGTGGATGTGGCTGTGCCTGGAGGCAGCAGAATAGAAGAGAAAGAACTGGAGAAGATAACAAAATGCGAAGACCTACAAATAAAAATAGAACGACAAGGGCAAAGGCAAGCAAGGGTGGTACCAATAGTAATAGGCGCTTTGGGTGCAGTCACAAAACAAGTGGAGCACCATTTGAACACCATAGGCATTGACAAATTTGCCATCAGTCAATTGCAGAACGGAGCTTTACTTGGAACAGCTTCCATCCTGCGGCAATATCTGTAACACCATCAAACATCCAGATTTGCTATCCCAAGTCCTTGGTAAGGATTTGATAGGTAGAACAATAATGCCAAACCCAGTCTGAACATCTGGCTGACTGTGCAAATAATAATAATAATAATAATAATAATAATAATAATAATAATAATAATAATAATAATAATAATAATAATAATA